TGCAGGGATTCGATGAGTAGCGGTCGGCTGTCATTGGGTGTGCGGATTTAGAAAACATCAGGATCTCTACTTCGCCGGAACCAGCCGTCAAATGTATCTCATCGCAGAGAGGGTTCTTCTTCCACAGCGGCCGTCGACAACGAGCACAAATGGAAGGGTCAGTTGGCTCATCTGCATCCAAATCAATGACCTCGGCGAGGTCTGGTCACCCCAGTAGTACTACATGGTGCACCATACAAGCCTGATTCAGGCATGTATATATAATACTATAGTTATATAATATACACTGTATATTTAATGATTCAATATTTTTGGATTGCGGTGTCTTTTCACTGAAAAATGCTCCGGGCAAAAAAATCTGGCCGTTTGAGGATCCAGGTATAGTATAGTCAATATTATATTATCACTCTATATATCCTATATTGGACATTGACATGTCATTGGACATTGACATGTCATTGGACATTGACATGTCATTGGCAATGACTGAGTCATTGGCATAAATAATTAATGTCAAACGTCCGCGGCAAATCGATCAAAGAACAAATGATTGATGACTGCAGCCCAAAGGCCTCCGCTTCGCCTTTCTCTGGCACCTCATGTCCGCGCTGGCCGAATTGTGGAATCGTGAAGGGTCTAGAATTGCACAAGACGTTTCGGAGAAACAAACAACCGGGGTGTGCCACATGAGCAACACATGCTGCGAACGTTGTGCAAACCAAAGGCTGCCTTCTTCAAGAAGGAGGTCATACTCTTCTGAATCCGATTGTCCTTCGCTCTTCTGCAGCTAAAGCAAAGAACTTCGACAACTTCATCGGCTTCCTGCCAAGCGAAGCCGAGCCATGCTGGCAGCAAAGACGGGTGTTGGGCTTGTGGCATTAACAACCTGGTGCTGTGAAAAAAGGATGAAAAAGGTGGACACCAATTGAAGAAGACGTTTTCAGGGTGTTTTTCTCAACGACTTCTTGTGGGACGGACCAGATTCCACCACATCCCTCTGTGTGGCCAACAGCTCGAGCCTTTGCTTGGCGATACTTCGGCTTTTGGTCGCCTGCACACGTCGCGAAGTGGCGACGACTCTCGGCGGACTTAGACAACAGGAAGAGAAAATTGAAAAAAAAAAACAATGAACTGCAAAGAAAAGAACAAAACTGACCCTTGTAATGTCCTTCCTCTCTTCTGTGGCAAAGGCAGCTTGGATGCAAGGAATCTGCAAAACCTATATACTCAAATTTTCTTTTAGCAAGTCTTTCCAGCTTGATAAGGTCTAGTCTGGACACTTACCAAAAAAAAGAAAAAACAGCGCCAATCCATGGGCGCGGCTCAAGAACAAAATGCACAAGTTGGTAGAAGGCAGCATGTGAATGCCATGCAGCAATAACATTTTTGGGCTTCAACCCTCTCATTCAAATCTGTCATATATTCAGCACCACCCATTTCGGGTGGTTTTTGGAAGGAAAATACATACAGTAGTCAATGGGTGCCACCCTTTCCGTGGTGCTGGACAGTTTCAACGTCAAAAGCTCCAACTGGTATCCCCTGCGGTCGCGGCCATCGCCACCTTGCTTCTTTGCATCGATCGTCTCTTTGCCAATCTGATCGCTCCGGCGCTTCTTCGGCTTTGTCGCGTCCTTGAAGGGCGGGTTCCGTGAGGTTCAAACGCCAGGAGTGAGAGCCACGAGGCGGCAATGCGGTGTTTGCACAGATCTATCTAATGTGCAAAAAAAAGCATTGAATGATCTTGAATGTAGATTCGATTCCATTGTGTACACGCCTTGAGTGGAGAACTAAGTGATTAAATCTTTAAAAATGACCGCATATCTGGAGCTACTAGTAGCTCCTGGCATTACTACTAGTAGCAAGAAGCTTAAAAAAAACATATCTGGAGCAGTCCTGTTCCGCAGCACGTTTACCTTTTCGTGTGGCCTCAAGAGACTCGCTGCTTCGTCCCGACCCTCTCCAAAAGCCATCTTCCAATCGAACGGGGGCATCTTCCATGAGAGTCACGACGATGATCGATCCTTGTCGAACCAGCTGAATTATATATTATACATTATTATACTATATGGTTGGTCTTTGAGAAGAGTAGACTTGGCTCCAGGTCAACTGGGACCTACTCAAGGGAGCCAAGAGAGCATTCTGAGACGCCGGCCGTGGTCATTGTGCCCATCGGTCAAAGCCGCATTGACATGCTCCGCTGGGCTACGTTGACTTTGACCAAAAGTTGGGGTGGAAACTTGGCCAACAAAACGAACTATGTTGCAAGGGGACACATGTCAGCTGCACGAAGGGTTGCTATTGTCAAGGTATGTCAAGGTGTACGTATCCAATCCATATTCTACGCGTATTGCGGGTGACAAGGACTCCTACCGCTCACTGCCGGTCTTTGCTTGCGGTTGCTGGTGTCTCAATCCGTCATCAATAGTGCAAAGTTGTCGTGCAAGTTGAATTCAAAAATTGATCGGCGTTTTTTGTGGAATGGCTGCTGCCTCTCCCATATCAGAACTGCTTCATCGCTCAAGCACTGGAGTGCAGAAGCTGCAGAAAAGAGAAGGCAAGAAAACAACTCTCCATTCGTGTTCAACCCACAAATGTACTGCTGCTCAGACACTTTCTCAGTGCTTTGAGTCATCTGCCACAACCAAAGGTTCCCTGAACACGTGCTTTGGGGGGGTGGATCAAGAAGACAGCTGTAACCAAGAGATTCACATCCTGGATCTCAGGCAGCCATTATAGAAGGAGCTGGGGTTTTAAGGTCGCTGAAGTTTGTATTTGGAATCACTGGTTACCAGTGACATCGTGGTTTGCCTGGATCCACTGGGTAGAATGAAGGGCAACCTTTTGAAGCACAACTGTTTGATCACTTGTCTTTCTGGTCGTCACCTCTTTGACCAGCCTGGTTGAACCCTAATGGAGTCCCTCAAAGCTTCCCATACACACTGAAAGTTCCCATAATGTAGACTCTTGATTAAATAAACCCCCCATTTGGATCCATTTACTTTGGATTGTAAGACCTGTTCGAGTTTATTAATCAACTGTCTGCATTAAGTGACTGCAACCCCAAATCTAGCTACGGGTACCACGTTCTAGGCCAATCTCCTGTTCTGTCGCGGAGCTTGGACTCAAAGCATTCAAAAGAGCCACGCCATTGGCCGCCCTGCACCGGTCACCTGGTACATCTCCAGCTTTTCCTTGAGCTTGAAGGCGGCGCTGCGATCCCCCCGCTGAGGCGGCAACGTCGACCTCGTCCAGTCAAGCCGGGGGACAGCAACTGCGATGGAACATGGGTCAGAATATATCAGAATGGGACGCTCGGATGTGACCAGGCGCAAAAAGAGGCTCGCATCATCTGATCAGTGAGACTCCCAGCAGTGTGGCCTGGTCCCGTCGTGGTCCCTACCCTTTCCTTCCTTCCACTCTGTGGTGCGAGCTATCCCAGCACGAGGTAGAAGGCATGTGGAGGCCACCCCTTGAGGTCCTACATGGTCCTACGATGTCGGGCGGTGAGAACACCCCGTCCTCACTGCACGCGTGGGCTCTCCAAGGCCCCGAACTTGGAGATGATCTGTCCCACTTGCGACAAGTGAAAACCCAATGAGCTGATGGCCTGACCGTTCGATGCGTGTGACCAGGGCTGAAAACAGCACGCACTCATGCTATCGCATGCGCACATGCTGATTCGATCTGATTCGTGCGGCAAAGGGATGACCGGTCTCTAAATGCAAATCAGCTCGGCTGGCAGTGAGTGACTCACCCAACAGACCTGTTCAGAACGTCTTTATGCCTGTTTGATCACTGGGATACTTCAGGCAAACAAAAGTTTATGCTTGTTGTCCATGTTCATAAAACATCATAAAACATCATAAAACGCTGTAGGGTATTGTAGGGTCAGCTGCGGATCGAATTACAAGGTCCAATTTTCGTGGCAGGTGTGGAAGGGTCAATTGTCACGCCGTTTTAAAGTTCGAATTACAAAAGGCTTCCCGCTGTGAAGAATGACCGCCCACACGTTCCCAGGTCTCCCAGTGTAGGATTCTAGGGATCAGCAATGACATTGAATTTCAAGAAGCGCAACCTTTGTCTGGCCAGATGTAGGATCATTGTACTTTTCATCAAGAATCAGCCAACAAATGCCAACAAAGTTACCCAATTGTGCAAGTCCTAACATCTATTGTCGTTTCCAGAGGCCACAGTCACATGTCTCGTCCCAAGACCAACCTCGGCGCTGAGATCCACCAGCTCACGGCTCCCTTCGCTGACATCTTCATTCTTCATGGCCCAGCCTGATGCCAAAGACCGGAAATGGGAAATGGAGAGGAAGCTGAAAGCATCTGACTCAAAGGTACTACGAGCGATCAGCATACTAAAATGTACTGTGATAAGAGTGATGGTCCGTGCTCCAGCGTCATAATCCCAGCACAGAAGTGTCGAACACGAAAAGCCAACGTCCAAAATCTGTTCGCTCGGGGCGCCTCGAATCAGCTGGCTGAAGCTCTACTCTACTTTGAGTCACTAAGCAGGCTGACCCCTTCTGGGGTGGCTGCGGAGTTAAGCTGAGGTGACCTGCTTCCTCCGCTTAAAGTCGAGTCAAAACCACCGCGAAACGACCTCTCGGACGCCTGGATCCAATTGTACGGAGGCCAATTATTACTAGTAGCTTCTTGTTACTAGTAGTAATGGCCTCTAACCTAATAGCCATGGCCTCCACCTAGTAGCTTCTAGGTTCACCACGTACAACTTACTCGCAACTTGAAGGTGATTAACACGCTGGCTAACTCTTGACAGTGTTCTAGATATTATACCCCCCCTCAAGACGCTTGGCTCAATTCCCAAATGGTGATTTACATCAATAAGGCTTTGCAAAAAAGATCTTTGGCATTTGAACCAGGAGTTCTGCGGGGTTGCAATTAGATAAACATCTCTCCAAACCCATCCCAACCGGTGTTCTCACACTTCAGGTCGAGATCACGACATGTCGCACTCCCTGCAGGCACAGTTCTTTTCATCGCCGCTTCATCGACGTCCATTCCTAAAGGAGATGAGAGATGAGAATCGGAGGAGCTACAGGCGCCCACAGCCAAACGTGGGAGTCAAGATGAGTCAACACTGCAAATCAACAAATCCAAACTCCTGCGACCAAATCCCAGTCATCACAAAAACATCAACACAGCTGTCAGAGACACTGCCAACACTCCATCAAAGGGTGTCTTAGAAGTAGGAACCCTGTCAATCCTTTTGATCGACTGTTTTGAAAGATGCCAGATGTTCAAAAGGCCATGTGGTGTCTTTGGAGGCAAAAGCAAGCTTAAGTCCGGATCTACATTCACTAAAAGCGACATCCTGGATATCCTATATAATCCATAGGAGCAATGAGAAATCTATCTATACCGTACTATTATGTATATTATATATATATACTGTAGTACTGTCAGAATCCATCAAAAGAAACATCTCTCACATTCACATTCTGCTGGTCCCACCTCGCAGGACCTCCTGCGCTGCTCGAAGCCCAGAGAGGTAGGCTGCATGAAAGCCGCCCTCGGAGGCTCAAGAACTTTGAGGGTCAACTGGGCATGTCTGGGGTAGATCCCATAACCAGCAACATCCAGCAACATGAGCCTTTCCCAGACATGGTGATCATCTTTTTTCCGACTGTTGGACACTGTTGGTAATGGGACGCACACCAGGCATGTCTCAAGAGACTCAAAGGATCTCAAAAAACTAAGAAAATACAAAGAGGATGTTTCTTGATGTTTCTTGAGAATACTAGGAGCAAGGACGCTACTAGGGGCTCCTGGCCTTACTACTAGGAACAAGAAGCTACTAGGGGCTCCTGGCATCGCTACTAGGAGCAAGGACGCTACTAGGCCCGAATCCCCGTTTGGTGTTCGCCGTCAGCCGGTCGGCTCTCTTTAAAACGGGATTTCAACCTCTGTCTGAGCGCCAGCAAATGCGAGGATGCCAACGTCTGGGAGATACATCTGTGAGAAGACCATCAGTTCCCAGCAAACCCACAAGGCCTGTGGATGTCTAACTCAGCTCAACCTCTGCCCCACCTGCTCAAAAATATGTTGTTTTGCATCTTTAGCTATTCTCGCGCTCTCGTATCTTCCCCTGTCTCTTTCCGTTTGCCTCCCTCCCTCCCCCAAGCAAGCAACAATGTAATGCACGGTACCGACAGGAACCCACCACTGATTATACATTCTGCGTCTGCACGTCCAACCTTCGGAGTTCCCAAACTCACGGTGAGGTGGTTGCATTCTTTAAAACGCGGTTCCAATATTCCCTTGTAAAAAATGAGTTCGAGGTCCTACCATTTCAATCCATTTCAAGTATGAACACCAATCGGGGATCTTGAGATACGTCTGAGATGAGATAATCGTTTGAGATGTGTGAAACTCCAGATGTCTCGCGACGTCACCCGGCGTATCTACCAAAAACGGATCGTATCTGTTGAAAGACCCAGTGGGTCGAGATCGTCTGGGGCTAGGACTTGGTGTTCCTCATGCGTGTGTTCTCCTGCAAGTTTGATGCGTCGTCCTTCCGTGGCAGCCAGCAAAGCCCGAATGTCATCCCATTCCTGCAGGAGGCCGAATGGGACCGGAGTCAGCTACACAAACTCCTATGAAATGCAGAACCTCCGAAAGATTGAACAAACACATGGAAACTCCAAGCCGGTGATTTGTAGGCAATTTTTTTTCATTCCCAGGCCCATGTTCTATGGTGCTCTTACTTAAACTCATAAGCCAAGCATCAGCATGCTTGCTGCTGACCCTTAGCTGCCGCACATGCTTGCTCCAGATCGTCCAAATATCGTGCAAATATCGTGAGGTCTATGAAGACCCATGGACTTTCAATTGTGGGTGTGAGTTACAAGCTGGACGAGTGGGGTGCGGACAATCATGGGAACTCCTGAGCATGTCCAATGATACCCCAAAAAACACAACCTTCACCCTTCCCAGTCTTGCAAGATGGGAGCTTCCACTACCCTTGATTCTTGTAGAGATTGCGTGGGGGGTAGGTTGGTGATCCTTGTTGTTTATTGCCTCACGGTCCTGAGATTTTGACCCGGACCCAGAGACCCAGAATTTGTTTGGGATGGCCAAAATTGGTCCACAAAAGGTATATGCTCCGCGTTGGATATCACCTACGGACCTACGCCTGCATGACATGCACTCTCATATATATATATATATGTATAAATTCCTTTTTGGTGGGTTCGTGGCGCTGCTCAACTGCAGACCAGGTGTGTGGTCTGAAGAAGTGCCACATCAGAAAGCAATCTCTTTTGAATAGATAAACTTTGAAAAAGACAATCCAAAGACCGACAAAACCAAACACAAACCAACAAAAAAAGAGTAGCCATAGTAGCCATAAGAATACCCAACAATACGACAGCTCCACCTCTTCAACCTCCTTCTTTCTTTGGCGTCTCAAACCATATTGTCAACAACTTTTGTCGTCCCAGCTGTAACTGAAGCCCGAACTGCAATGTCAAAACCCATATGCTTGGGTTTTCGTTTTTTTTCTCTTTGCCACTGCACCACAGTGCACCGCACTACTACACACAGCCGTCCGCAGCCCAACCTCGCTCACACGACCGCTGCACCACACCACACAGAGCAGCACAGCACACACCACCACGCAGCACACAGCACACAGCATCGCACACAGCACCGCACCACTTACAGCCGTCCGCAGCCAAACCTCGCTCACCACGTCGTTAGCAGACTAAACGAGAACCAAGCATCAGAGGAGACGCGTTTTGGGATACAAATCACACACTGTCATGGTAATGAAATGAAACCAAACCAAAACAGCAGAGCGATCATACATCACACTGACTAGACTGTACTGTACATAGAAATAGACTGACCCCCGCGTTCTAAATCGACTGCAATTGTGCGTCCTGAAACGACCCTCTTCCAGTATCGGACAGCACCACAAAGGACTGGTAGAAGATACAACAAGATCTAAAATATCCTTGGTTGGTACGTTTTCTGGTTTTGAGATACAACATGATACAACCTTTGGTTCGCCGACGACCGCTGCACCCCAACCATGCCCGACACTCGCCAGCTTACTTCATGCCAGTGACGAGTAGGAGCCGTGGCACCAGGGAATCTGCCCCCAGCGCGTAAAATGCATTGCAGAAATCTCATGCGGCTCCAAGTGCAGCAGCTCGCATGCCATCTGCGAAGGGACAAATTCCAGCAGCCAAATGGGCTCGGACTGTGACGCCAGATCTGATGTAAGCTACTGGTGCCTACTGTGAGTTCCTTCCATGAAAAATCGTATCATTCCAAGCAGTGATACCCTTGGACTTGCTCAGGAACGGGGAAAAACATATTCCCGAGAAAGGGCGCTTCCCTAGCTAAGCAAAACCTACAACGACACATGCACGGTCTTGTTCGACTTCTAGTATCGACTCTTGTTGGGTGCGAAATTCTCTCAGGTGGAGGTGGCAGCTGCTGCATCTCGCGTGCGGATGCAGCTGCTGTTTGTTTGATTCTTTGCCATACGTGCGCGGTTTTGATTTTTTGCGGGCAGCTGCTGTTGTTGCGGCTAGTGGTTGCGTCTGCCGTGTTCTTCCTGAAAGGCACCCTTCAGTGTATGGAGCTTATTCGGGTTATGAATTGTAGTAAAATTCACCAGGTGAACGTGTTAACTGCAAAGGTCTTCACCAACCACAGGGTCTGCTGAGTCTGCTGGGTGTCCCCACGGTTGCACCCAGTTGGCGCGACAGGGAACAGGAAAACCCCAAGTTCAACATCCTCGAAACTGTCTATGGAATATGGGATTAACCAATCAGGGCACTGCACATGCTCATCATTTCCTTTCTGTTCCTTTATACGTCAAGGCTCTTTCGCTAAAGATTCTTTGATCCGAATCCATATTCATGGAACAATAAACCACCCTTGAACAAACTAAAAGGGTCGCCATGGGTTTCTTTGTTCCTCAGTTTTCTCCATGTTTTTTCGTCATCGTTGTTTCGGTTCGCTTCAGTCAACAATCCCGGGCCTCTCTTGCTTCCAGCTCCGTGAGCTCTTCGCTCTCCAGTGCCAGTGAGGCCAAAGATCTGAAACACAATAACAAACAACGACGTGGAAGGATCTAAAGAGTCATTCAAATGTAAATAACGAGAAGGTGTCAATCTGGTCAATTTCGGAAGCTTGAAAAGTCGACATGTTGAAGAAATCTGTACCTGGTGCCCACAGTTGCTGTCTGTGTTCACAGGTTCTGCAACTTCGTAATTATCGGCCAATCGTGTGAAGAAGAATAGACCACCTTCTGCTTTTATATATATATATATATTATACTATATATAGAAGTTCTAGAATATTATAGAATCAAAGTTGTTATATATATATATAGTTAGGAAGCTACATCGGGGACAGTATCCATGTTTCACACTGATTTACAACATGCCTCAACATCTCCAGTTTCCCCAGTCTTGAATGTTCAAAACTCCACGTGCAGGCAGTGAAGGCTTTTTTTGACCAAGCAGTTTTTGGGCGATGCGTTTTCAGGAATGTCTCACCGGAGAGGCCAGTAAAACACCGAACTGGCCCAGCCACGCTGGTCCAAACAATAGCTGAGAAGCAAAAGGGGCTTTCTGGTCAATGGCCAGTAGTTGAAAAGCTGCCAAAAGTACTTGGAGTCCTCAATTGCAAAGAAGTCTCAAACGCATACTGCAATTTAGCGAACAGTCAAAGTCCTCAAAATCTCTCTGAAGGCTTTTAGATGTTGATCTCGAAGGACTAAGCCAGCTTAACTCTGCTTGTGGGGTCGCCTTTTGCTATTTTCTGATGTCCTTTCGCTCAATCCCATCTGACTTCTGAAAATGAATCAAATTGCATTGCAATGAAATAAATCTTCGTTGCTATTCTGGAGCAGCTTCGATTGGGTTGCCGAACGGGGCTGCTTTGATGCAGAGTGGTCCAAGCATTTAAGAGATCTGCCCAACTCAAACTAAGCAACTCAATCTTGATGTAGACTCTTGGTTGATTTAGTTTGTAAAAACCTCTTCGCATGGCTGGTTTTGTTAATAAAGCTCCGAGGCTCCAAGTGAGTAAAAACCGGGAAGCGCTCCGCAGCCTTAGTACAGCCAATGGTCCACCAACTCAACCAAAACCGGTGTCCTCCCTATCCCCTTGGATCCTCTGACAGAAACGGGTCTCTGAGTTTCACAGATCCCTCCTCTCGTTCTTGAGACATCTTGAGACTTGCACTGCCTCAGAGACTCTCAGCAACAGCTTGTTGTAGTGGCCTGAGCGCGTAAAATGCGGCACATGTCGTGCTGAAATGCGCCTTTCTCGAGCAGGCTCGATTCTTGCTTGAACGGCCGTGGCTTGTCTCATCCCAGTGGCACATGTCCAGTCGTTGCAAAGGTCTCTCAGGCAAAGAAAGCCACCGAGGGCCACGAGATTGCAAGACTCCTCGAACGTTCGGCCGTTCCGCACTGTGGATTCGTTCGTTCCGGAAGACAAGGAGTCTCAAATTCTCGAATGACCAAAACTCAAAGCATGCTCTTTGCAATCTTTTCCATGGTCCTAACTGGGCTTGCCATCCGGAGACCCAGCTTACAAAAATGACCAGACATCGAGTCGGTGAATTTTACGTAGCATGAGTTCACGGATCTGATCTCGTCGGTTGTCACATGTCCACAGCAGGCCCCCCCAAGGTTCAGGAACTTTCAGCCCTGGGTGACCTGATCGCCAAGCCGAAACATGCCTACTTTCGGGTTTGCCAAATCCAACCTCTCATGATGGGTCTTGGTAGAGCACATTCCCAGGGGATGTGACGAGGCTGGGGGTGAACAAGATTCCAGAGAGGTCTTTCAAACACCCGGCAGCGAGAATTCGCGCCGGGCGGGCTCCTAAAGACACGGTGACGACCACCCAGGCGGCACGGAAGCATCGATCATGGCATCGACACAGCACGCCATCTTCGAGCTCCTCCAATTCCAGGACTTCGTGGCCAAGAAAGACCTTCCACAGGCCAGCAAGCACACGACGAGCACACAGGCACAGTCGGTGGTTGTCGAGGCGACTGGACGCCACCCTAATCTTCAAAGAAATCACCGAAAAAGGATATGACATTCGATAACACCAATACATGATCAACTCTGCAATATATTGTAATATTCTGATTCCGAGTCTGGAATCCTGTCAAATGAATAAATTGAAGTGATAAATGATAAAAGTAGAAAGTGGATTCATGTGAATTCCCTGGGAGAAAAAGGCCAAACATGATACAAAATGTCATGCACACCCTTGGTTCAGACTCTATTTTTTTGGGGGGGTACCGTGGTACCTCTATACACACTCGCCAGATCATGCTTTCGGCGCATTACGACACAGCCCCGCAGGCTCCTTGCGCATCAACTGTGCGGATCTACATCACAAATGATCCATGGGTAATGTGTGGGTGGGCTAACGTCCAAAGGTGATTTAAGGGCTATACAAGCAGCACCCAAAAGATTCAAGTGTCTATTCTCCACGCACCAAATCTGGGAGAGCCATGGTGACTGTATTTAAGCAATATTTATATATATAATCTATCTCGATCGGAAGTCACCAAACAAAGGAGCTCGGAGTGGATGTTCCCCTATATATAGCAATGCTGCGTTGGTGGTGGTGAGCCTCCCAAGAAGACGTGTCCAACACCATGGTGTCGGGCATCGGCCCAACTATCTCTTCGCCCTGTGTGGCCTTGAGGCCGCGTAGTCGGGCTTCTTTCTCCATGCGCTCCACCAAGATCCGTGTCCCACCTCGCCAGCAACAACGTCCAACCGATGGCTGCCGAAAAGACTTCGACCAAGCAGGGAACTGCATGGACAGCGAGATCTTCGAGGAAAAACATGCTTCATGGATTTTCATGGTGGAAACTCAGGGTAAATGATGAATGACCGTCATCATTCAATTGGATTCCTCAGTGAAGTGCCAGTGCAAACCCGCTAAACTATTCTAAACTCCAAGTTTCACCTTCAATGGACAAAACCCTTGATATGCAAGGGTTTAAAACCCTCTAAGACCCTCTTGAACCTCACACCAAGTCCCAAGATTCACATCTTTCACACGACTCAATTGGCGTCATCTTGGTCCAGATCTGGACCGCCTCGTCGTGTTGAAGTGGACTTCGGACTTCACGTCTTTTTATTTACAAATGAGCCCCTCACTAAGCCCCTCATATGAAGAGGTGTTACAGTCCAAATGGGGGGGGTTGTTAGATCAAGAGTCTACATCAGGTCTCTTTAGAGAACTCCTTGCAAACTACCCGTAACCACATGACCACATGCTTTCAGACCATACACCAGGTCCTTTCACTTTGACCATCCACTTCTTCCCCACACCTTGCTCTCCTCCCATTGCTCCAGACTCCCGGGTCATCGCAAGTCCCCAAACTGCATCTCGCGGTGCCTTTGAGGATGCAGTGCGCACCGGGGTAATCGCCCATGGAGCCATGATCTCCATCCCATTCAAGGAGACCAATCCGGTCCTGAGGGCACTTCTTAGTGCAATTGCTCAGGTCTGAAGTTCGATGAACGTTGCAAAATTTGTCGGTTGTTGTTAGATCAAACATTGCAATGAGATTGAACATAGCCATGATCTGATTTAATTGGGAGTGGGTTTTGACTGGGCTTTGACCTCAAGGGTAGTTCAGTACAGCCAGGACCCCCTCCCAGGTGAACCATAGGAAGTCCCTTTCTCATCAACCAAAACACCCACTGATCAAGCAAGCAGCCTGCTGTTCCAGACGTCCAAACAGCATCAAACAGCATGTTGAATCTGGTTGAACACATCCCAAACACACTGCCTTGAAACATCCTAAACAGGTGCCACTACCAAACAGAAGCCAGATCAGAACCACGTTCAAAACGTCAGGGCCTGGATACACTTCGCCACTTCTGCTTCGTTCTCCCCATCACCGTGCGGTGCCCCAAATCCCGCCAGGACTCGGCGGAGATGCCAAACCAGCCTTCCAGCATCCGAAGCCTTTGCCGCTCCCCGTCATTCATGGGTCCCAGTTCTGCTTCGCTTTCCTGTAGACCATCCTGGCAGACCCGTCCCAGTGAGGCAGTGGATGGCAGAGTCCTTGCTCCTAGTAGTAAGGCCAGGAGCCCCTAGTAGCGTCCTTGCTCCTATTTGTGGGTGGGCCAGTTCCCAAGTGCCCAAAATGCATGAGCAAAATGGCCTAGTTCATGCGCTTGGGCGAAAGGATCCTCATTCACGGGACATTGGATGCGTTTCGGAGATTCCTGCAGGCTTTTCAGAAACCGCGCATGGGTTTCTCTCTCAAGTATTTCGGATGTTTCATGGAAGTGGAACATGGCCCAAAGAATACGACTTCCCTTTTCATTGGGCTGGATGGTCCACTTCTCTATCATTCTCTATCTATATGGGTACTTTTTGACAACCCAAATAGGAGGGACGACCATACCCCGCCAGCGCTTCCGACTTTGGAGGCTTTTGCGCAATGAACACCGGCGTTTACTCCACAACGGGCTCCACGGGTCGTTTGGATCTGTTTTGGATCCCCACCGCGTCGCGTGGACGAATCATCCTATACGGCGATTCTCACAAGGTCCATTTGCTCTTAGTTTCATTTCGTGACCAGTCCAAGATTTGAGAAGGCTTGAAACCGAAAGATATTCAGAACGACATGGGGTTCCTTGTTCTTTATGTCTTCACAGCGCAGGAGCATCAACAGGGTCGCCTCGAGGGACCGGCCCAAGGCAGATGCAGCTGCAGCGGAACGTCCCACAGCTGCCAAACGGGTCTCCCAGCCCTCGTCTGCCTGCCATGGGTTGGGCACGGGTGACGAAGACCCCCAGTATACAAATTAGTCACTCCAGTCTATAAATCCACTACCGGTATCCCTAGTCACCCAAGTTTTTCTGAAAAGTATGATCAGAAAGGAAGGAGGCCCCAGTTTCTACCCATCCTGGCCACAGAAAGAGAGAGATGGATGTAACTCTAATCTTGCCAGGATTTCGTGCAGATTCCTCTAGGTTCTCACTTGAAGTCTCCTGGAGAAATTTGGAGTCGCATCCAACAATACAAATTAGAACTCCCAACCAGAAGAGATGATAATGTAAAATTGATTATTTCCATTATAATGTATATTGCTATAATTTGCTACAATATACTATATTGTACGGTAATAACATATTTGAAATAGTATTAGTAATATATAGTCTATAGTCTATAGTGATACATATTATGATGTATATATTGTTACTTATATAGTATAATAACAATATATATATATTACATTATATACACTAGAACCGTTTAAGGCACGAACCCCCAACCAGGTTCCAACTCTCTCCCCCACCTCCGTCCGCCCAAAGCTACAGCTGTCGGACTCTGCAGGGCCGTGCAGCCAAATGTTCTGAGCGCTGCTGGCCACAAGGTCCTGGACCCCGTGCCACCACTGCCGGTTTGGTCCACAGAACAACCGCTGAAGCCAAGGAGGTCTTCCACAGATTTCGCGCATGATGCGCATGAGGTGGTCCACGGTCGATTCCGAGTCAGTAGCAATGTTTGCATCAAGTGTGATATGAGAGGTTGGAGGTGCCGCCACTTTTATGTACTATGGCTCAGCATCTTTATACTTTAGATCCATTTATGCCTTCTTCCACATGTCCCAGTCTCTGTGGGTTCCTTCGATGCCACGTGGAACGTGGCACAGCCCTGGTGGATGCCCCCGAGTCCTCAGATGTGATCCAGCCATCTTCGATCAAAGGGTTGCCATCCACTCCATGAACCCAGGCAGCACCTGCATCCGCCTCAAGATCACCGACCTGCAAAAGCGAAGTCAAATGTTTTCAGAGGTTGAAATGATGAAGGTTGTGCGGAAAGAAAATAATTGTTATGGTATTACTTGTTTAAAGCCCAGCCTTACTTAATTAAGTAAGGGAGAAAATTCGCTCCTAGCTAGGACGCAGGATAGCTCACGCACTATTCATTTGGTTCCTAGATTTTAAGGGAAACTTAATTTAATGCTTTAAAAATGTCAAGTCTGCCTTGTCTTCTCTTTTTGGGTAAGTCTTGGCATTTGTGTTGCGGCTCAGTTCTTGCCCCCGGAATTGAATTGTGCCATATGATCTCCATATAGCCGGTTTGTGTCTACATGAGAGGACGATCCGAGCTAAGCAAAGTCTCTTTCACCACGCTTGGTCAGGGGGTCAGGCCAATGAAGCGCCATCTAATAGACCCAACAGGGCCCCGATGCTAGAACCTTCAGGCAAAAACCTGCAACACCCGAATGAGTAGGATAAAATTGTATAATGCAATGCTAGGCTGCTAGGTGCACAGTTCGAGTCACCAAATGGAATGGGAAAGCGGACACCTTTTGTAAAAAACAAGAAACCACAAATTCAAGTTAAACAAATTCTTCCATGACGCACCTCTGGCGCAAAAATTGAAGTCGCCCTTGCCTGGCAGGTGTAGAGCCTCCCTCCCAAGCGCTCTTGCCACTCCAGCAAAGCCACAGAAGGCGCTTCGCGGGCCCTGTTCGCCGCGCCGGTCCCGCTCAGGAGAGATACCGCACAGCTTAACCCAGCCAGGCCTCCTGCTGTCTGCGACCACGTCCAAACAATTTCAACCACATCCAGCACTCTGTGTGAGTCTGGGAACAAAACTGAGTCTGGGGATTTGGGGATGATTTTGCGACGGCAAATGTCCGGGGAAGGTTCTCTGACAGAAACAACGAAGTGGTTGCTGCTCACATGCAATTGAAGTACTGTATCTGACATGGTACCCCACTAAATCTTGAAGCGCACTGCAAAAACGGCAAGTGTTCCTCCAACGATCAGAATGTCATAGTTGTCATCCGCTTCAACTGCCATGCCGCAATCTCGATTCAAATCATTGGCATGCAGCATGCGTTCGATACAGGCGTGTAAGGCGTGTATCGTGTAGAGTCATTTTTTGCATATTTTTGCTAGACTGAGTGTACGTACGTGTGCAATCTGCTTGATCTGTCCCAATGTTACAAGTATGTGTAACAAGGTAATGCTTATGTTGATCCATCGTGGTTCCCCACGAATCAAAATCTTTGTCTAGACATCGTGCATGACTCAATGACATGTGATTAATTTGCCCTGGACGGTCTCTGAAATCAGCAGAATGCAAAAGCTGCAAGGAACAAAAATGACATACGTATATATAGAACTCAAGCTACAACACAACTGAAACTGAAGACCTCACATAAACTTGAGAGAGGAGGGGGTGAACGAAAGGTAGCAGGCAATCACAAGTAACCCTGGTAGAAGTCCATGACGGCGTGAACCGGCGCAGGGTGGATTTGATCCAGGGGGGGGCCCATTTCTTACAGGACCAAACTCAATGTACAATCCCAACTCCTGATTATAATACATTTTTGCTAAAGCAAGGAGAACTCAGGTAGCTCAAGCCACCTTTCGTGACTACACCATTCTCAAGTGCCAGTCTTCTTCTCACCTGGCCTTCGCCCTCGATTCCACCAGGAGGGGTGGATCCCTCTCGATCTTTCGCCGCAACATAGCCCCAAGACAGCTCCGAAGGTGCTGGGGCGTGTGACCTGTGTATCCGGATGGCATAGTCAATCGGAAGATCTCAGCTTTACAGCCAGCTGGTGCGGTAAAAAAAAGAAGAAGCAGCAGCAAGCCAGCAGCAGACCAGCAAGCCACAAGCAGCAACACCGGCAAGCCAGCAGCAGCAGAGCAGCAAGCAGAAGCAAGCAGCGGCGGCAGCAGCAGCAGCAGCAAAGCAGCAACAGAGCAACAACCCAGAAGTAGCAACACCGGCAAGGATCCGCACTCTTTCCGGAGCCGTTCCCATGATCCAGGTCAAGCTGAGTAGACCCCTGACAATAGTTTGGTCTCTGACTCATATGGTTCGATGCATCCAAAGCACCCAACGGTCTCTGTCTGATGGAAACAAGACATTTCTCCCGGTGCGGCAGGACCCAGCCGTGTAGCGGCGCGAATAAAGGCCGGATGTGCATGTAGGCTGAGCGGTGCCTAACTGGAAGAATTCGGAGGCTAACAGCAAAAGAAAATACACAAATGAGTCAAGAAATCAGGGTGTCAAACCAAATGAAACGTGATCTTATGCTTCAAGCAATGGTATATACCTAGTGCGAAGATTGCTGGAGAGAAACCAGCGAATCGAACAGTTCTTGTCCGATATGTGTTTGTGACACCAGAATATCTGCTGATATCTGCTGGCGAACGACTTTAGAAAATGATGCCAAACCACTACTATATGGATGATCGATGATAGTCGGTTGATTGGTAACTTGGGTTTCTTGCATGCGCACATCAAGCGCCAAGTGCAAATCTCACTTTCACGGCCACCATGCAGCCGGAACAACGACAATCTTGATTTGGAGCAACCCACGATTGGCATCAACACTGACGCATTAAAAGCAATCATGACCTATGACCTAGTGAACAACACAAGCGAGTGGAAACTAAAACATGGAGCTTTTTATCATCTGAATGCTTAGCGCACGGTTTCTTGAAACCGTGCCGGGCGTCAATTGCACTTCCTGCACCAAGGTGCTGCGTCCCAATGTCGAGGCTTGGAAGCAGCTGTTCGAACACAAACAAATTGGTGCTACTACTTCACTACGTCTGACGTCTGACAGCAAAAACGGGGAATGGCACAACGAAAAAATCAAATAAAGGAATGGCCACCACATGATCATGAACCTTGAAAATTGCTGGAAACCACCATCACTCTGTTGTCTTGAGCGAATGAGGATTCGAATTACTCACAGCCTCAAACAGAGTGATCCAAAGGGTGAAAACGGTCGTAATTAGAAACCAAAACGAGCTGAAACGAGCTGAAACAAAAATCCTCATTGTTTGGCATTGGGCCTTGGGGCCTTGGAAGTCTGAACAGAGTGAGCACTCAAAAAGTCGTTGAACACAACCCTTTATGGAAAGAATGTGTGTACACTGCAACTAATGTCTAATGTTAACATATGTCTTCGAGGCATCGCGCATGAACAGTGATTGCCTTTGCTTTTGCGGCCCTTCGATCGACACAAAAACCGCGAGAGCGAATGTTGCACACTGTCCAAAAAAGTCACTGTCCGCTGGTCGCTGTGAAGGATTCCGAGGGAATTCGCTGAAACGGATGATTTTGAAGAAAAACAACCCATCCCATCCCATCTGTCTTTCTCTCGTCCTTCGATTTGGCTCGTTCAGCGTCTGCTTTGGACGCCGACTTTGGACGCCGAGTCGTTCCCCACACACCGAATCCGGCTCCCCGATCTCGAATCTCAGTCCAAGCGCCGGCGTTTCGTGGCATCGCAGCGACCTCTCTGACTCGCTTCGGAGGGTCTACATGAAGCACTTTACTTCCCAGAACATGTTATCGGCGTGTTATCGGTTTGGTCATGCCATGGTGACGATTGAGCAAACATCCTTGACAATGATACGTTGAATGTGAGATAATGTGAGATGGTGCAAGAAATACTGGACGCAAAGTTTGTTGAAGAGCCTTTTTGTGGCTGCTTGCAGTTTAGCGACTTCCCTCCTTAATGAGCAAGTCCATGGTGGTCTGTTTCCCTGCAAATCGACAATGTCGGAGAAGCAATCAGTGGCTGCAACACCACAATCAAGATTTTGCTACCCTCCCTCAAACAACTAAAACTTCATAGAAATGTTACTAAACTCAGATAGGGATCCCTTCTGCCTTTTGTAGCTTCAAGTCGCTGCCAAACAGACACCATATTGAACCCATTGTCTTATGAAGACTTTTCCCACGGGTATGATTGACATGCCCGTTGACATTACCAATAATGGTTCGTTCTACTCTTTTTTGGAGAATAATCTAGAAAATTGTAGTTCACAACCCCTGCTAGCAAATTCTGGCTCCAGAAACTAAACACAGAAATCAAACATCAAACAACTATTCGTTTCCAGTGGGAAGGACTTCAAGACTAAAAACATAGGGGGCACAACTTCAAGGTAGGTAGTTATGGTCCAAGTATTACTGTATCTTACAACCTTCCACATTATGAGCTTGGTGTGAGCAGGCGAAGGGAATGAAAATTATTCCAGCCAAGCAAAATTAAAGGCCTAGCTGTTCCTGGGCCGCCTGTCTGCCAAGGAAAAAGACAAAACCAGGCATTCACAGGCCGCGAAGCCTACGAAAAGAATGAAGGTCTTCAAAGTTGTGGCTGTTGGCATTGATGCCAATTGGGCAGGATCTGGCCAGCTGGGAAGAGCTTGCCACTAGAATCACTAGAAAATCGGACGCAGCACCTGGCTATGTGCTTCCTTGTGTCCGACAGGGAAGGACCTACTGGGTGGTCTGCAAATCTCTGCCTGGTCGAGAAAGCCTGCCAGAAAATGGAGAGGCCAAGATTGAGGAACGACCGGTTGTTGACCAGTTGAGGAGCAAATGCATTTGATCTTGGGGGCTGGCACACCAACATCAACATGCGAGGCCTGTAGGCGATGCTCGGGCAATCGGCATCTCACTGAGAAAATGTCTGTAGAGAATGGGTCTGGGACATACCCCTCCAGGCTCTGGAATTTGACTCTGGCGAAAACAGCCAGCCATTATCGAGAGAGAGAGAGAGAGACTTGGCATTGGAAATTGAGAAGGTACAACCACAACCCTTTTCTAGAGGAAATATCACATAAGGGTTGTTAGCAGCATTATCCACATTATGCCTGTATCGCTCAGTAGCGGCAAGCGAGCCTTCCTTAAGCTTTAGAGATATTGGGCCCAAGCTGTCCAGCCTTGAAGTTCTTGACCAGAAAAAAATAACCCAAACAATCCAAAGACTCCACTTTGGTTCATTTCGGTTGCGTTCAACTGAGGTCCAAGGCACTGAGCGGGCGAAAACTCCAAAAGCATTCGTCCTCTTTGGGAGACACCTCTGTCGGCTCCGGACAGGCTCAACAAAGCATGTCACAGTGTCTATGAAGACAAGAGGATGGTCCAAGGGACAACTGATGTTTTGATCGTCTCAAGAAAAGATTGCATGTGTTGGAGCAGAGAACATAAACACAGGAAATCACATGAAATTGTGGGTGTTGTTGTTGTTGCTGTGTGCGTGGTTGTGCGTAAAGAACATGGTGTGTTGAACCAAATGAGACCACCCCCTATAATATATATATATACAATGTCCGGTTTGGTAGGGAATTGAACAAAACCCACTGGTTGCATGGTTCGACCCACTCCATCAAAGAAAATCTTCACATGGACACGGTGAAAATGTGGCTCTGGACAGGCGATCAACCTCAGACCCGAAGAAGCCCCCAACCTCCCCCGATCATCAATTGGAAAATCACACAACAACGTAGCCAAGAGACCCTGAATTTGCCCAGTGACTTGGGCCTCCAATCCCGATCTTATCCCATGCTTTCGAACAGGCTTACGTCACCAACCCACACTTTATCGTTTTCTCGACCCAACCTCACAGGCCACCAGTCGGCTGGACACCCACATCTTCGGATGCTCGGGGTCCTGGCTTCACGCAAACCAGTCCAGCACCCCACAGGTGGCGACGACGAAGTTTGGTTGAGGGTGCTCTCCAAATGGCTGGCATTTTTGATGACCATTACAGCAGCACAAAAGTCCTCTCGAGATCTTCATGTCGACGGCGCAAGCTCGGAAAAAATTGGTTGTCCCGAGCAGGTGCTTTCCTCGTGCACATTCTCGGACTTGGTCACTTTTTGTGGCAGGCGCAGGAAAACCCTGGTATATCCTCGTGATTTGGCTGTGGGAGGGGGAGATCGAAACCAATTGACTTCAATGTGCAAATTTTGTGGCAGGCCTTTTCGACTTGGTGGTAGTCTTGATTTCGTGGCACACGCGCGCCGAATCGTGAACTCTACAAAGTGCAGATTTCGCGACAGGTGTAGCACTTTTGTGAACCTCGAACTGCTGAGTTTGCAGCAAGCACATCACTTGGTGGCCTGCAAAGTGCAGATTTTGTGAACAGCTCTCATATGTGGCTGTCAGATGCTGCGTGCTCTCTCATATATATCATATGTGGTTGCTCTTTGTTGCTCTCATATTCGTGCTCTCATATGTGTGCTCATGTGGGCCGCTAAGCATCGCAAAGCAACACATGCAGCTCCAGCGTCGGCCATGTGCCTGTAACCAGATCGCTGCTCCAAGTTGCCGCCCGTGTGCTTTGTTCTGAACACTCTTTGGGGATGTTTGGAGTCTGCAATCTTTTTATGGAAAAAGGCCGGCCCCCCCGGTGTCTTCCAAAAAGCTCTGAAGAAACGCCCGGATCCGGGCATTCCTTGATATTCCTCGTACCTGCACTTAAAATGCTGACTGTTTTGATTTGGCTGTTTCAGCTACAAGGTCCATGTCATTCCGGACCGCCGCTAAATGAACTCCTTGAACAGATTCCAAAAAGCCATGGAGTGGTGATCTGCATGGATCTGCTCCCATGAAATTAAGGGAACTTTGAGCTTTGACAGAGTCCCAACATGTCACAGCCACTAAAAAACTTCTGGGATGCATGCCTACAAACAAACTGGCCTTTTGGGCATCAAATGCAAGCATCAGAAGCATGTATTTATCATTGGGTCTTTATTGAGCCCTGTCGTCCATTCACGTTCGAGAAGGACGTTTTCCCCCATCCTGGGTCTTTGGCCCTCCATGTCCTTCTCTCCTGAAACTCCTCACGGCTGAAAGGGCAACCCTCAAGAAGCTCCAAGATGCTCTCATCACCTCGCTCTGGCGAACGAACGACCGTGTTGCTTGATGAGCCACATCTACTTTCCCTTTTGCATGGCTTTGACGGGTTCTCACCACTGTTGGTGGCTGTTGTTAGTATATATGGTATAACTATAATTAATGATGAATGTTGATATACCTCATGTTCGATACAGCATGAGACTTGCCGTTCTCCTGGCCTTCGTTACCCATTCATCCTTTTCGATGACACAAATCGCCAGGTTGCACTCCGCCAAGCGTTCCAGCAGCTTGACGTACCAGGCTGGAGGCTCCTTTCCACGCCTGAAAAGCTCCATAAAACCATTGAAAAATGCAACAAAAAGATCCAAAGAGACAAAGATTTGTATAACCCATTGGAACTTGGGCCACGAACCTTTACAAAAAAAACAAAAAATTACTTTACTTCAAAATTCCCCACCCTCAAAGAATTGGTCTTCACAAGAGAAAAGCGGTTCGGCGCGAAAAGGATTCTTTATTGAAAACAAAACCACACATCGAATACTTACTTGTGAGGTTTCTGAACTTCGATATTTTAATGCCTGGCAACCCCGCATCCCTGCCAAGTCAACTTGTGGTGGATATGCTGTGGAACTGGTACTTGGGAGCACTCTGGTGAATGTGCTGGTGTCAAGGCTACGCTGGGCTACTCGGGGCCACTCTGGTGGAGGGTGTGCTGTGTTCTTTGGGTTGCTCTGAGCTACGCTGGGACCACTCTGGTGGATGTGCAGAAGTAGCGAGTCTACTGAAGTCCAAAGTTCTTAAAATCTAACAGCCCCACAGTCCTACGGGTGGGGAAAAAACTGCTTTGATAAGTACATTACAAGTCTACAACTATCCTGCGATCTCTTGGTAAATGTGCTGTGGACAAGCTAAGTTGAACTACTTAGAAATCAGTTTGTGAATGTGCTGTGGAAGAGCTAGGCAGCTAGGTTTAGCTACTCAGGGATCAGTTTGGTGAATGTGGTGTGAATACTCAGAGGTCATTTTGGCGAATGTGCTGTGGAAGTGCTACGTTGAATTACTCAGGGATTACTTTGGTGAACAGGGATCAGTTTGGCGAGCGTGCTGTGAAAGAGCCACTTTGGGCTACTCAGAGATCACCTTGGTGAACGTGCTGTGGAAAAGCTAGCTTGAAAACTCAGGGATCACTCTGGGGAACGTGCTGTGGAAGAGCTACTTTGGGCTACTCCGGGATCTCTTTGGTGAACATGCTGTGGAAGTGCTGCGTTGAACTACTCAGGGATCACTTTGGTGAGTGTGCTATGGAAGAACTGCTTTGGGCTGCTCAGGGATTACTTTGGCGAGTGTGGTGTGGAAGAGCTAAGTTGGGCTAGTCAGGGATTCCTTGGGTGAACGTGCTGTGAAAAAGCTACTTTGGGCTTCTCAAGGATTACTTTGGTCAACGTGCTGT